CCTGCTGCGGAGCACAGGCTCCGGACGCGCAGCCTCAGCGGCCATGGCTCACGGGCCCAGCCGCTCCGCGGCATGTGAGATCCTCCTGGACCGGGGCACGAACCCGTGTCCCCTGCATCGGCAGGCGGACTCTCAACCACTGCGCCACCAGGGAAGCCCTGTCACAGATTTTTAACATGACTTTCCTGGGTACTGATTTCACACTTTTGGTAGGACCTCTATTGCTCTTACTTGTCTGGGCTAAACAGGGGCCCCGGGTTTCCAAGGAAAGGGGAATCTTTGATCCCTTCATAAAAGGATTGAAGGCTCTGCCAGAGTGAAAACATTGGCCTGGTGGATGGACAGAATGGTGGAAGCATCTTCAGACCTAGCTCTGACTTTGGGGAGGCCCAGTTGGAAATTTCCATCATACCCAGCGCCCCTGCCATCCCAGGGACCCAGCACAGGTCTCTTAGCAGTCCATAAAATGGGTTTTTAAACTGCACAGACTTGGCTCTGAGCCTGGGCACCTGAGGATCCTGCCAGACAGTGCACTTTGGAAGAAGATGTACAAGGAGCAAGCAGCTAAGCCATTTGGACTTGAACTCTGGGGAGGCAGAAACTCCCCCCACCCTCTGCCCTCTGTTGGCTGATGTGACACCTATATGTAATGTACACCAGTCTGTTTCCACACTTGCCTTTCTAGTGACTGTTGGCCCCGACGAACCAGAAGTAAGGCCTGCCTTTGTGCTGCACCTGCAGAGCCATTCTCCCTACTTTGTAATAAAAATAGAGGGGGAAGTTCGTGGGTCTTCACCACCCGGAGCTAAGGAACAGCAGCCACGGTATGTCTGGAGACCCTGGGGCACCTCGTGTCATCGTGTGCTTGCCCTTCCCTGTCACACATTGGCTTTCAATGCGCTGTGAGCAACACACTTTGTCTCCACAGTCCTGAGTATAGGGCAGGGTCTCCAGGCCAGGGAAGGAGCACCCTCTAGTGGAGCTGGGGTGAATTCTCAGGTGCGAGAATCTCCAGGAGCCGCCACTGCGACCTTGTGCAGGATTTTGGTGTACCTTTTGTGGTTTAAGACAGGTGGGTTGTCAAGGGACTTGGAGTATCTTCATTCCGTGCATGTGTACTCCAGGTGTGATCACTTAAGAAAAGCCGAACTCCACGACCAAGTAAGTAGGAGAGTCTTCATTTTATAGAAAGCTTCGCTGCTGGGATTTTTCCTGTCCTTTGCCCTGATGAATTTAAATGGGTTTGATTTGCAAATTTGGCTTTACACTCATTGTTTTTGAAACACATCAGTGGAATAAAGTTGCTGTTTATTTTATTTAGAAAATTACATTTTGTAAAGGAATTTGACATTCATCGTCATAACCAATGACCCTTTTTTTCTCTCAGGCCAGAGATTCTGAAACACTGTTCCGAGACGAGGGGTGGGTTGGCTGCCTCGGCAGTAGCTGGGAAACTTTTTAAAAATTATGGATTCCTCCGGCCTACCCCAGACCTTCTGCATTAGAATATTTTTTAAGTCTCTAAGGTAATTCTGATGTGTCTTTTATTTATTTTCCACGTTTATTTAGGTATTTTATATTTGGCTGAGTTGGGTCTTTGTTGCTGCACACGGGCTTTCTCTAGTTGGGGCGAGCGGGGGCTACTCTTTGTTGCGGTGCGCGGGCTTCTCATTGCGGTGGCTTCGCGTTGCGAAGCACGGGCTCTAGGTGTGTGGGCTTCAGTAGTTGCGGCACTAGGGTTCTGTAGTTGTTGCTTGTGGGCTCTAGAGCACAGGCTTAGTAGTTGTAGCACGCGGGCTTAGTTGCTCTGCAGCACGTGGGATCTTCCCGGACCAGGGCTCAAACCCTTGTCCCCTGCGTTGGCAGGCAGATTCTTAACCACTGCGCCACCAGGGAAGCGGTAGGCAGAGGCTTTTGTTCTTTTGTTTTTGTTTTTTTTTGCGGTACGCGGGCCTCTCACTATTGTGGCCTCTCCCGTTGCGGAGCACAGGCTCCGGACGCGCAGGCTCGGCTGCCATGGCTCACGGGCCCAGCCGCTCCACGGCACGTGGGATCCTCCTGGACCAGGGCACGAACCCTCGTCCCCTGCATCGGCAGGCGGACTCCCAACCACTGCGCCACCAGGGAAGCCCCAGAGGCTTTTGTTTTAATCAAAGACTATAGCATTTGAAAACATGCGAACTAAGCATATATGAGTGAAGAGCAAAACTTAGCAAGTCCAAAATAAAGTCTTAATTTGTTTATAACTTATTCCAGGAAAGATTTGAGGAGACTTAGAAGAAATAACTAAGACAGTGAAATATAAAGAAGTGAGAACCAAGAACAAGTCAGTAGAATGTCAGTGCCAAGAAAAAGATACATGTAAGTCATGAAGCCCCACAAAAACACTCTGGGGAATCCCTGATTAGGCCTGGAGCCAGAGCAAAGAGAGAAGCATGATCTGGTACTGTCTGTTGAAGGGTGGGATGTCATATTTGCTCAGAGGAGAGCCCAGACCATGACTACTGCTAGCTTGCCTGTGGTCCTGGAAGTCAGGCATGGTTAGTTTCCCGGGTCTTCCCTCTAATCGTCACAAACCCTCTGAGTTAGGCTATGTGTCATTCATTTCCTTGGTGCAGATGGAAGGATGGAGCTTTAGTGACTTTTCTCAAGGCCCCACAGGGAGTCCTGGAGGAACCAACCCCTCCTCTGTCCGGCTTCATAGCCCAGGCTCATAAACACTGCACCCGTGCTCAGGACGAGATGCAGGAGACCAAGGCAGCTTTCTGGGATTGGGTAAAGGGCTGTAACGCATTTGGTGCATCTTACATGGCAGGTTCTCTGCTCTGAAGTATTTTCCTTATTTGAAGGGGGAGAGAGAATTTGAGGAGGAGCTTCTGGAGTGGAGAATGGAAGGTGTACTCAGGTCTTGCCACTAGGGGGAGACATAACCCTTTCTGGCTGGTCTGCCCAGAACTCGGCTCTGCCTTAGGGCTGGTGTACTTGGAAGAGGAGGAAACACCTGCAGATTTAGTTTGCTTCAGATCCAGAAATTCCTTGCCGAGTAGCGGCTTCGGGCTGCTTCCTGGAGCTCTCAGGGTATGGCCCCAAATGCCTTCCGAAATCCTAGTTCATTGTGGTTTCTA